AAACGTCAGTTCAATTTCAATGATCTTCTGATTCTGTGCTAGACTAGAAAGAATGAATTCAGGGGTATTTATTGACTGAAGCATTAAGTATTACCAGTCCCAACATAAGTAAGCATCAGGAACAATAACAAGATCTTGAGTACGAAAGATCTGGAGTACGATCAAGCCCGCCAAGTCACTTGTCTGCTTGTCTGCTTGGAGGAAAGGAGACGAGATCAGATGCTAGAGAAGGATCCACTGAATTAGCAGAAGAAAAGAAGTAAGCTAAGTAAAGTAAGTACCATATTCCTTAAGTAAAGTCAGTAAATACCTTAAGTCCTTGTAAGTACATATTCATTAAATAATGAAGTGGGTGGAGTCACTAACTGTGCCGATATTTTGGATTCAAGCTTCAAGTCAGAGCAGAGCAAGAGGTCTTATATAGGAGAGGAGCAAGAGTTCAACCAAAACAGCCCTTTTTCCTTTACTTGCTCATGCATAAGCGCGTGGTGGAGTACTCTATTCGATATTGCCTTACAAACAAATAAGAAAGAGCCCGGTAATAGGTCCTGTCCGTGTTCTGTCCCATCAGCTTGCTTCTTGCGAGATGAATAGCTTTACCATGCTTGGTTGGATATGAGTAGTTATCTTCAATCGATTGTTTAAGGCTAAAGCTGGAATGACTTCGGCCGTGGCACGATAATAAGAGCGTAGTCTATTTGATACTTAAATAATGTCATAATCAAGGAGATGTGCAAATATAATGAAGGGAGATTATAAGTAAGAGAGTCCTAGCCCGAATGAAGGGAGATTATAAGTAAGAGAGTCCTAGCCCGAATCCTGTCATTAGTTATTCATTAGTAGAGTAAGCTATCGCACCGGATATAGATATCAAGTCCAAAGCATAGGGATTAACCCAGTGGATTCTCTCGCCTCTTGCTTGCTCTTATTGATGACTATGTTTGTTCTTTTATTTAATGATTATTTGATTGTATTCAGTTATTGATTACTTACTTCCATTAGGCCTCGCCTCTATGTTTTATTACTTGCTTATCCTCTCCTGTTACTAAAATATATATACAAGGCTTGAGTAACTATAATCATTCCATTCATTAATGAAACTCTACGTTAGCACAGAGGAAAACAAAGAAAAATCATATCTATCTACCGCCAACAAAGAAAAGGAATATCTATCTACCACCAATAACTTATCATTAAGAAATTCTATATAGTATAGCCTCTCCCTTGTTCTTCTTCTCGAGTCGATAGTATAGCCTCTCCCTTGTTCTTCTTCTCGCGTCGATGTCGACTTGACTTCTTCTGCAACAGATCTTTATTCCACTCCTGATCAAGCATCTAATCTGGAAATTGCTTCATCTGGTCATTCGGCATCCATAAAGGATTATCTTGGCAAAGCTACCGTAACAGAACTCCACGACAACACTGTCATGTAAACCATACTCAAACCTACGAGCTACTTCGGGACAATGACTTCATAGACTTCGAGCTAAAGCAGGACTCTCCGTTTCTTCTGGTCGACAACACGGATCAAAGTAAACTTGAAGTTCAGCTGACCCTAACACCTTAGCAGTATGGATTCGGCTTGCCTCCTTTCTTTACTTAACTGGAACACAAAGAGATGATACACAAGGAGCGTAAGCCTTAGACACAAGCATAAGAATCACCTACTTCAGATTCCACTAAAGATAGACGACCTGTTCCTAGGTGCACCATCCTCTATTCAACAAGCAGTGAGATTAGCTAGAACAGGATTAGAAACACAGGATTCAATTATCAAAGCGAGTGAAGAAACAAACTAACAAACAAGTCCAACAAGAACTAACGAACAAGCAAAGAGAAAAGTCAATAAAAGAAGGGATAGCTACCTATCATTACCTAAACTTCTATATAATGTAAGTGAAACAAGAACTGGAATTGCTTAGGATGAAACAAGAACAGAGCTTGCAGATGCAGACTAAGTGATAACTCCCCTTGAACACAAAACAGAATTCACCCTCAAACACTTGCTCACTCTCTGACTCCTGTCCTGACTCGTTGCTATAACACTGCTTCCTCTCTCTAAGACTTTCACTCTACTATCTGAAACAGCTTTGCACTTAACCGCCGATACTTGATTCTTTTCTAAAGCTAAAGTGATTGGCACCGGGCAAGAATCTCTATAGTATGTATAAGTGGAATACTAGGTATGGTTGCTGGCTGCGGGTAACTAACCTACCCGAGTGCTTCTAAAGCCCATTATTATATGTAGTAATTCCATTCTATTCAATGGAGTCCTAATTTCTAGCGTCAGTAAGAAGTCTTTGTCTCCTATAACGCTAGGCTTGAGTTAGCGCAACGGCCGAGCTCAACTCTACTTCAATACTTAGTGAGGTTCGAAGCTATGCTCTGTGTTTTTCATATTCCTCACTATCAGAGGCGGACTAAGCACTTGCAGAAGCATCAGATCAGATAATATAAGATTGCCTAAGTCGTAATGAAGATTGCTTGTTCTCTCCATCTCGAAGTTCAACATTCCAATCAGCAGGAGCAGGAAAAGATGGATGTGTCCTGTTTTCGGGAGCAAGAGAAGCAACCAGGCTAACGTAGGTATAGATATGTGAAGAGCAAGTATCGTTTTCTCCCGTTAGTGAGTTCTGGGGAGTAAGGAGTGTTTTTTTAAGCAAAAGGTCAGCAATGCGGTTTACTATTTTCTATATAATGCAGCAAGAGAAGATTCTATGAGTGGAACAAGTAAGGGTGAACTACCGTAGTTCTGTTAGTTGGGGGCGCTAGTCGGTTTAGAGTTTGTTGCGCATGTAGGTTAGGAAGAAATAGAAACTTATCTCACCGGTCAAAGAAGTCTCAGCCAAGTAACTTAGCAACTACATTTCCGACTCCTGTTACTGTTCCTGTTTGTAGTGACTTGGCGCCTGCTTGGCGGAGTTGGAGCGGAGGGCTTACGTGAGTCTGCATTAAGTAAATAGGGTCTGCTCGACGAAAACTATCCTTAGAATGAATTGATTCCTAACATCTTTCTGGCTCACTTGCGGGTTCCGTTGCTTATACCGCTGATGCTTATTATCCCGATACTGCTTCTTTGACCTTCGTTTTTGCAACAATAAATGATGTGATGGTTGGTTACCTTTTCCTATCATACAGAGCGGGGAACAACAAGAATTCTTTATCTTACTGAATTTAGATAGTGGGGCGTTAGCATAGAATGTTTGTAACCTGACTGTTCACCTTTTGCACTTAGTGAATTAAAGCCAGCTAAGGCGGGAAAGAAAGAGGGGCTCTGGTAAGAATAAAGTATCTAGTAGCTCATAGTAGGTTAAGGTAAAAGAAAAGGTATGGTGTAAGGTCTATGTTAGGGAAGGGAGTATATATTTCCATTAATGTTTGAGTGGAAAGGAAAACTCTGAATGAAAGAAAGGAACTCACCTGCCCATAAATAAGGAATGAAAGAGCTAACTAACGTTGACGCTGACCCTGACCCTTTACCACTGAGTCCTGTGTTCGTCCACTAGAACAGGAATTCGACTTGAAGAACCCGCTTGCTTAGACTTCGACTCATGAACTGCTCCTGTTTCTTCTGTTGAAACAGCTCCCGCTTCCGATTCCTCTTCTAATCTATCTGAGGCTGATGATCCAACAAGCACGTTCGAGGGGGACTTCCACTCTCACTCCAAGAACTACTTACAGCTGACTCACAGCTAACCGTTACGTCGGCCAACACTTATTCTTCTCCCGCTTCGGCTGAGGCTTCTTCTGTGTCAAAGACTTCGACTCTTCCTACTACACCAGGTGCTTTTCCATCAGCCTCTCGCTTTTGCTCGAGCTCGAGTTGGGATCTCCCTTTTGACTTAACTACAGAAAAGGGTGGCTGGCAGCATAATACACCCAATGGAAAGACTCCCGCTAATAGAAAAAGGATCTGCGGATGAGAACGAGAGCAGTACCGATAGCACCCTTCCTGTTCCCTTGACTAGTGAGGGTAGCCATCACCAGGGCCGATGATCCAACCCTATACGGAGATGCCCTGATGATGATGGGCGTGATCCATAGCCGATGTTGGCTGGAAGCAGTATCCGTTGAAGCTATTCCGCACCCCTTCGAGTATCAGATCGATATGTTATTCGATATCTTCCAGCTTCTTGTTCATCAAGTACCAGTACGGAATCAGATCAAGCATCCGGGGCTTAATCGGGCTCATAATGGGAAGAGGACCAGTTATATCAGCTTCGACGTCCCTGACGTCAGTACCAAAGATGAGTAACATCCTAACAAAGTAGCTAGTAGTTCCAGAATCCACCCTTTGGGAAGAATCATCAACTCGGGGACGAATCTCAAGAATCAGATCAAGTCGATAGTCCAGTAATGGAATGAGTCTATAGTAAGGGTTGTGCTTTCGACTAGTTTACGTCAAATGCCTAGAAGAATTCTGCTCTTATATAGTAAAGACTCAGAGAATGCATCGGAAGAAGAAGTTCAAGCATAAAGTAAGGATACGGAATATCAAATAGAGAGTAATCCCACAAAAGGGGCGGACTCAACAGACTCAGGGGTGCTACTAGAGAAATAAATGAATGAATTTTCCGGAATCGTCTTGTCTTCTTTCAAAGCAGCAAAGGAAGTGCAATAACCCATTCTTATGCAAAGAAAGGCTAAGTCAAAGAAGAGTTGGTTCGGTATCGAACCGAAATCCATGGTAAAACCCATCACTGGCCGAGTGCCTCTAAAACCTTGAACTTAGCCAACCCGGAAGGCAAGACATCTCGCATCTCTCTCTATTAAGGCAAGTGGTTCCTCAAACGTTAGTTCTTTTTAGTAGTTAGGACACAGTCAAAAGCAAGTCGACATGATCCTCCTTTGACTTCCTATACGACGGTAGAGGGCCATTGAGGAATAATGTCTCAGAATATTACCTGGTGGCGAGAGTCGTCAAAGCATCATGAGAAGACTCTATTCCTTTCCTTTCCCTACGACCCGGAGTGAGCAGTGAAGATCGATCAGTTACCCGAGCCTCTATTTATGCCGGGCCACAGGAGGACTTATGTCTTTGACTCCAATGTAAGCTCAGAGGAACTAGGGAATAAAAGAATATAAGAAAGAATAGAACTCGCATTCATTCATTTAGATATAAGAAAGAAAAGTCACCTAACTCAACAATACCTCTCGGGGGGCGAGAATGATTCGAGCCGTATGAGGAGAAAGGCCTCCTATAGTTTATGGGGGAGGATTGATTCTTTACATCTATACCAGTTTCTGGGGGAGCATTGTTTCTTTACATCTATACCAATGAGCCATCTATGGAATGGTTTCAATTGATGTTCGATCCCGAGGATAAGGGGGAGATCTTTGAAAAGTGGGTTTTGATGATCCGATAAAGAAGAAAACGGATTCAAACGTTCCCGCTATTCTATATTTCCTTGAAAAGGGCGCTCAACCTACAGGAACAGTTTCTTACATTTGTCAAAGTCAGTATTAATTTGATTTCAAGAAAAACCATTCATAAAATATAGGGATCTAATAATAATCTCAATAAATCTTTGTATTCTTCTTGACTAACTCTGAAGAAAGTCAATTCACACCTTACTGAACTTATAATGTACACAAATAGAATGGAATGGAAAATGGAATGGAATAAGAACAGCTGCTCGAGTCGACATCGAGACGTTACTAGCCCTAAAAGAGATGATAGTTGACACCTTGCCTTACTTAGTCCTTGCCTTACTTCTAATTACATTTTATAGAATTCTGTAACCTCACACCTTACTCTCTGAAATTGATTCGAGACTTGATCCCATCAGAATCTAGTAACCACAGGATGATCCCAATCTCCTTCTTTTAGTACAATAATTGGAGAAAGAATGAAAACGAACCCTTGCCCGCTTTTAGATAGATTCATAGTACTGTGACTTATGGGCTAACATTCAATGGATTGGAAAGAGGAGCACGCGATGTTACTATAATGTAGTGTTTCAGGTGTGCCATGAATTCTGATTTGGGAGTGAATCTTCCCTTTCTTTATTAGATGCTATTTCGACTTCTTCTTCCAGTGCATCAAATTGAGGGTCGACAGGTTACGCTGCTAGTCTACAACCGCCAGTGGTTCTACCTAAGGGAATTGTTCAATCTAAATGCTACAGAGCGAGTGCTCTTCGTGTAGTGATGGAGATGGGATGTCCTCCTTAAGAAGTTCTTCGACATTAAGGTACTGTACTCTATAGGGAGGCTGTCTATCGCAAATCCAAGGGTGGCGACCTTCGCACGCGCAATTACTTAAATAAGAGCTTGGAGTCATCGCAACAAAAAGAGTGATGACACTCGAAAATGAGAATACCATTTGCATTCTGGATAAGGAGTGGAGGGCCTATTGGGCGGAAATCCAAAATAACCTCGAGCAGGCTCTGTCTCAAGACGAGTATAAATGATGACTCTAGTTCTGGAATCGGTATCTCCTGATCAGAGCGCAATTCATGCTCTTTTTCGAAAGACGCTTGATGAGCATCTGTACTTGTTGTAAATGCCCCACCTGATGATGCCGTTCTTTGACGAGACGCGTGCTCGATGAGGAACTCCCGCTCCGCCGCTAGGACAGGGAGGAAATCCGTCTATTGACTCAAATGTTCGCGATCAACTTATTACTCAGCTCTTTGGATCTAAATCCAATTCTAGGGCATATTGATCATAAGGATTACGGTTTCTTAGGAATTATGCCGTCGATTTCTATTATCTCCGTGATAGACTAAACTCCGCCCTGCCCTGTTACACATTTTCCATTCTTTTGGTTACTTTACTCATTCTTGTACTAACTCCTCCATATGCGGGGTTTTCTTACTGGGGTGTATTGGTAAGCCAGCAACCAGTAATGTAGGCGCCACAACTCCAAGTTCTTATCTAGTAAGAAAGAGTGTTCTGACTGATGAGCGAGTGAGTCTGACAACAGCCCGTAATTTGGAATATCTCTGCGGAAACTCTACTCTACATTTGGAATATCTCCGCTTTGTAAACCCTTTAGGAGAATTCCAGTGGATTATGCTATGCTATGGAAAGCATGCGAAACGAAATCCTTTGATTGCTTATTATGGATAGTCAGTCTTTCTTGTTCCACTAGCAAGGCAAGGACTAAATGATCACATGTCAGTTTCGTTATTACAACCTTCTTTTTGTATGGCAAAGACAAAAAGCTACGCGCAAATTCTCATTGGATCTCGCTTGTTCTTAACTGCGATGGCTATTCATTTAAGTCTTCGGGTAGCACCACCAGATCTTCAACAAGGTGGAAATTCTCGTATTCTGTATGTACATGTTCCTGTGGCTCGGATGAGTATAGTGACTTATATCGCTACGGCTATAAACAGTTCCTTATTTCTATTAACAAAACATCCCTTTTTTCTTCGCTCTTCCGGAATCGGTACTGAAATTGGTGCTTTTTACACTTTTTTGACCTTAGTGACTGGGGGGTTTCGGGGAAGGCCTATGTGGGGCACCTTTCGGGTATGGGATGCTCGTTTCACTTCTGTATTCATCTTGTTCCTTATTTACCTGGGTGCACTGCGTTTTCAAAAGCTTCCTGTCGAACCGGCTCCTATTTCAATCCGTGCTGGACCGATCGATATACCAATAATCAAGTCTCCTGTAAACTGGTGGAATACATTGCATCAACCTGGGAGCATTAGCCTATCTGGTACATCAATACATGCTCCTATGCCCATTCCAATCTTGTCTAACTTTGCTAACTTCCCCTTCTCCACCCGTATACTATTCGTTCTGGAAACACGTCTTCCTATTCCATCTTTTCCCGAATCCCCTTTCACAGAAGAAATAGAAGCTCGAGAAGTAATACAAACTAACAAAAACCTAGTTCACTCGCTGTTGCATCCATGGCTCTGAATGGTAAAAGCGCCCAACAAGGAGAAATGGGCTAATTCGTAGGTTCGATTCCTACTGGATGCGCCGCCTCTGAAAGAAATAAGTACGTCCATCCCTTATACGTAAAGCAGTAAAGCAGGATACATTTCCAGGAAGTAAGTACGTCCATCCCTTATACGTAAAGCAGTAAAGCAGGATACATTTCATCGTCGTTTAACATAGGGTTAACTCATCAAATGAGAAATCCATGACTCTTCAAGATTCAATCCATTCTGAAGCGTTAACGTATTGCCTGTTTTCGTATCGGCTAATGTAAGCTGTGAAGCAAAGCGACTCTATCTCCGTTATTTGTTGATGTGCCTATTGCTCTGAAGTCTATCGTCCTGGGCTGGGCGCAGGGAAATCATCTCTCTTCTAGAACTGTGTTACCATAAGAGGTATTAAAGCAAACAAGCAACGCAAGTGGTAGAGAACAAGCAAAGGAACACGTACCAAAAGAGTAGGAGTAGAAGAGAGCCCTTAGGGGGGTTATTTGCCATCAAATGAGTTGAACAGAGGAGACGAGAAAGCTTGGTTCGTGCTCTTGTTTCGGAGTATCGTTCAGTTCGAGTTAAGTCGACAACACAATAAGGATTCTAATATGGAGTCGGATCAGATATACCCGTTGCGCTAACAGAGTCATTTGTTTCAAGGGGAGGAATTCCTGCAGTGTCGAGTGTTGGTATTGCGGTTCAGTCAGAATACGAGTATCCCTCTGGTTTGAGTTTTGTAAGGAAAGGAAGCCGAATCCCTAGCAAGTCCTGTGTTCGTCGGCCTTTCTAGCCGCTGCTTGTCTGTTCTTTCCTCTTCTTGCGTCTGTAGTAGTTGTTCGTCGGATCAGAAGCGGATGCCGAAGAATGATCCGTTGCTGGTAATATTACTGGGGTTCTATACTATAAGGTTAGCGGGTAAGCTCGGTGAAGCTGTTAACCCAACAAGTCATTACTTATGTATAAGTGTTTGTATGGTCCTCGGCTTCTCCACCTGCCTCTTCTCTTTCCACTCAAAAGTCAGTAATTTAAGAGCACAGAGCACTAGGGTAGTCACTTAGATTTCCCCATCCAATAAAATCAAGGAGACTTCGGGCCAACTTTTCGGCTTAAGGAGCTTCGAAGGCTTAACCGAAGAGGTGGGCAAGGTGTTGCGCGTCAGCGAGGACTTATTCAGAGCACTAGTAGTTGCTTTGCCTGGTCTTATGGTTAGCAGTTCAACAGCCAGCCTTTCCTAATCAGTGAGAAGGTCACTCCCCAAAATGCCTGCTCTGTGGTGCTTAAGATGACTCGGAGGCGCATATCTGATGACAATGCGGAGACTCTTTAACAAAGTGCAAGGTGGATATCATGGAATTTACAACTATTTATATGGAACCTATATTTCTGGTTGAAATGAGAGGACTTGACATATAATAAAAGTCAACGTCAGTAACAACTCAATCGGCTAACTCCCAATTCTCATATAATATAACAGATCAACTAGAGCTATCGGACATTTTGGATTCGGTAAACTATTCACAAGAATGAATTATACCCTTTGATCTGTCTGTATATAGCTAATCAATCCTATTACTTCTGTTCTGGCCCCGGGGGCTTTCCACACTTTCGGAAAAACAAACTAACCCCACCTAGTTAGCGGTCCAATGAAGAAGACTCTGTAAACCTATTTGTAGATCTACGAATTGCTTTCTTGCTCTGATTAGGCTTACACAAATAAAGAATGATTTGAGAGTTCCACCATCCTATTATAATAAGATTCTCCCATCTCTGCCTTACTTAGTGATAATTCTCCTAAAGCTTATAGGACAAATAGATTTTCTCTTATTTTGTGACTCCTCGATATAAAGTATAGATAAGTAGAGTGGCATAAGTGGGGCGACTCCTCGATCTCAAGTATATATAGGTAGGGTGGCGGGGCAGGGTCTATGTTGAACTCCCTGGTGGTGCTGATGTCGAAAAGAGGTATTCCATCTACAAAACAAACAAGCTTCCGCTTTACCTACTTACTGGATTTTAGTACTTACTTGATTTGAGGTCTAAGGGCGAACATCTGTCTATGAAAGCGACTGGTCGAAGAGGGCGGTCTCTCTAGCGTTGACAGCAACTCTTTCGGCTAAGGTAACTATACTATGTACAAAAAGAATTGCCAGTAAGCCTATTGATCGTGCCGTATCTTTTTCTATTGATTTCAATGGTAAGGAAGATCTCGTCGGCATCAATCGGACCAATGATCAAGCATCGGATGTGGAAAGTTGCCTATGCGCCTTTCTCCTTAATCCAATTCACACTTAACTTTACATAGATGTCGTGCGAAGCCTAGAAAGACCATCTCAGATAAGACGGGTTGAAGCCATTATTCAGTATGAAAGAGCATATGCAATGATACAATTCAGTATGAAAGAAGCATATGCAATGATACAAAATGGTTCCGCGGCTATCGATCTGGAAAGTGCAAAGGGCAATATCATGAAGACAGCGTTTTTCTTTCATCAGCATCGACTATATAGGATCGGTACTTAGACCCGTTAGTAGGCTTTGGCGCACACCTATTAACTTCCAATAGAAAAAAGGCTATGACATCAGTACAACAAGAACGCTATGACATCAGTACAAGACCTTCAAGGCTTATGTATGTGGCTATTTTACGAATTCCAAATAGATTCCATTTTGGCCTTTCATCACGGATGTCGCAACAGGAGCGGTGAGAGTCTTTCTTTTGCCTGATTCCTTGTTGAACTTAGCACGTAGACCTGCTATGCTCCTTGAACTTGGAACTACTTACTTTACTTCACACTGGACCTACTTAAGGGCTAAAGCAGTAGAAAGTCTCGTCTAAAGTAGCCAGTAAGATATCAACAACAAGCACTCCTTGACCGAGTCATAAGTCTGGAACCGTTGAGGGCGAGAACTGAACGTCTTGTTATCTTTGCGTATAAGTAGGGTAGCCAGTAGTCGGCATTAACCGCATAGTGGGCATGAGAAAAGAGCTTATATATACGATTCTAGTGATTGACTTAATGATTCTAGTGATTGACTTAGTGCTGAAGAAGAACCTCTATCTCCCACAAGACTTTAAGAACCGAGTGCAGCTGATATTCCTTTAGCTTTAAGCGCGTAGTGGGCATTCTCTTCGACTTCTGGAAAAGACCCAGACCCGCTGTAGCTCCTTCATAGTCCTTATAGCTATTCAACATAACCGTACCTTTCCTTTCCTTAATTCAACAAGCAAGAGTTTTCAAGCAAGAATCCGCAACGGGAATTCATTGAAATACCTGAGTCTAGCCTTCAATGGTGCCATATGAATGATTAGGGAAAGCCATAAGTTCATCAGCAGAACAAGCAAGTCGTATAGTAAAGATAATAAGTAAAGAAAAATACCAACGAGTTTTGTTTTGTATTGGGAGAGTTAGTAGCAAGTCCTGGTTGCCTTACTCGGAACTATACTATATATAATATATCGGGTTGGTTTCCTCCTTACTATATATAATATATCGGGTGGGTTTCCCTACTTACAAAGAAAGTCCAAATACTGCTATAGAAAGAAAGTCCAAATAAGGTTTCCTCACAGCTGACAATCAAGTCACCTCATTGCCCGTTGAAACCTCATAGCTTACTGCTGGCTCAAGTCATCTCTTTCATTCTAGGAGTGCTTTCCCTTGTTTCAAGAGCTTGTTCGTTCATAGGAAACACATTGCATTTCAGTACGGTACCAACATAAAGCCTTTCCCTTTGGACTTATTATTCTATTCCCGTTATGCCTAGCACCGCTAAAGCTCCTGCACCAGCTTCCACTCAAATTATTGACAACCCGTGTAGTGGGCTCTAGCACTCCATAGGGACGGACCGTGATACACAAGATTCAGTACATAGTGGCGCTCCGGAAGTCAAGTGACCAACAACAAAGATACTTAAGAAGATGAGTTTCCCGTTTTCTACTTGATTCTTTTTCCCTGAACGCTTACCTGAGCACATTGCCCCATACTACTTTGGATTAGAAATGGCCTCTTTTATCGCTTATTTCCTCTTTCATGCAGATCTATGCACCTGAACAAGCAAAACGTAAGGAGCAAATCCGCGCTATTCATTCACTTCTGTCTATGTTCCATAATTATGTGCTTCTCCTAGGAAAGTGACTGTATTCCACGAAATGAATTCTCTTCTCTTTCTCATGGGAGGATCAAATAAGGGAACTCCTTTTCTTGGATGAAGGGCCTAGACGGAAAGACAGGATAGATAGAGATTGGATTCTTGCTTCCACATGCCACCCGCGAAAAGTCAAGTAATAAGTCCCTAATAATGTAGCATCAGGAAATTATGGTAAGCCAAGACAAGGATAGATCCAGGGAAAGGCAAAGCACATCAGGAACTCAGAAATGGGAGAATTCTTTCTTCTGTTCCCCGTTGTGGAAGGCTGCAAAGATCAAAGGCAAGGTGCAGTGCCGACCACCTCTTTCTATCTCTATTTCCTTGTCTATATCTCTATTGCCTACTACCCCTTTTGAGATTTCCGACCACCTCTTTCTATCTCTATTTCCTTGTCTATATCTCTATATCCTTTGTCGTCTCTATCTCCGACCACCTCTTTCTATCTCTATCTCTATTTCCTTAGTTGTTGACCCGCTTTATTCCCTTCGTGAGACAGACCAGACCATATCGGATGAACTGACTATTAGTGTGGGTTAATATGCCAGACAAGTTATCCGCTCATAGCTATTTTGCCTTAGGCCACTATTTATTGATACATATAATATATAGAAAGAGGAATCCAGCCAATAAGAGATATAGGAACACACTGTTATAGAAGAGAGATTCTGTGCTTATAAATTGCTGTAGGTAGAGCTGAACCTAGTCTCCCTAACTATTAGATTATTGACTGAACAAGTGATTTCTGTAGGTAGAGCTGAACCTAGTCCCCGCTCCGCTCTCGCTTCGCTCTCCCCTTCCCTTACGTCCTTGCCTGCACCGACCGGATTGCTTTACTGAGGAATTGAGTTAGTTCACAGACCATTGCCCCAAACCTTTCCCCACCAAGCTCGAGAAGCAAGTTTTAGGCTATCTCATGATTGTGAAAGAATGCCTAGTCCGGAATGGAAAAAGAATAGGCTAGACACACATGAATCAAAACCAGAGAATATAGGCTGGACACACATGAATCAAAACTAGAGAATGTAGGCTGGACACACATGAATCAAAACCAGAGAATGCACTGTAGTCTATAAGAGGAAGAGAGAGAAAATGCACTGTAGTCTATAAGAGGAAGAGAGAAAATATAGAAGGAGAAGGAGAGCCTGTTAACCTAAGAATTGAGTCGAGTGAGTTCGCGGGGTGGAGGTTCTTTCTTACTTACTCTAAATTGGAAGGTAATGAATTTATGACTCTTCTTAGTTTGGGAGTAATGGATTGATTTAGTCTTAATAGGGCTGACGTACTTCCTCTGGTCTAGTCAGG